CGCCATCACCGAACCCTACCCCTAGCGAGGGACAAGGCAAAGGTAAATAGCTGGGGAGCGCAATCCTAGGCGGCCAATCGGCCGAACAAATAATAGGACCGACCGATCAGATGCTAACTGATGGATGACACATAGGTGCCAGCAAGACTTCCATTACTGAGGTACCACTAAGGGTACCCTCAGGCCTCCGGAATTACAGTGTACCGGGAGGCGCCGCACCCTAATGAACTGCTGGGATGCATCGATATATTGTGCATTATCACTCGATTCAAATTATCCGCATGCCCGTACAGCCTCCGACGTTCTGCGCGACCCGCAAGCGATAAAGTATAGATCGTGAATGAAGTCGACGCTCTGGTTGTATGCGTACTTCTACATCAGTCAGTATCCTCGGAAGATGGATCGTCGTTATTCTCCTCTATGTCTGAGTCAGGCTCGCAGTAACTCTGTTGAACGTTCGAACGACGCGTGCTTCGCCGTCGCACTGCCGAAGTTGTGTCGGTTGCAAGGCCCGAGCTTGTGCTCACGCTACGACCAAAACTGCGGCGTGGAGCTGAAGCAACAGCTAAATCAAAGCTCTATCAAGCGTACAATATTCTGCCATAACGCACCAGACGTCATGTTCTTCGACTTCTTGCCAGGAGGTGGGAGTCTAGGATTCTTGGAGATAGCACCGGTTTGGAGGTCCCATAGCTCTTTGTATAGCAGCATATCGATCGTCAGTGGCCTGAGCATAACCACATCTATGGTCTGAGGGGAGCGTTTCAGTGATAACACAGGGCGTCCCCGCACGACGCACGAACCTCATCTCCTCGATCGAGCGCAGCGAGAACTTCATCATGAGTCAACCGCAGGTCTTTTGGAATGACGCCACCCTTCTTCTTGATCGCTTTCATACGGGCTACACCTTCAGCTACGGTAGCATCCGTGATTTGTGTGCCTTCTCGCCGATAAGCCATACGAACGAGTGGTTGCAGATACTCTTCCCATGACTGAAGAGTGGAAAGCGCTTTGGCCCAGGCATCGCGTGTCTACTTGCGATAGTTAGTGAGAATAGCACTAGCATGCCGGGATAGACACCCGTACCGAATCGGGCAATACAGCCCATTCTTCGGGAGTGATGGGCTGATCGCTCACTTCGACCTCATACGCGCCCATGTACTTCCAACGTGGATTCGATAATCCTGCCGCGCGTACAAAGAGCGAGATCGGCTCATTGAGAAGAATATCTTTGCGACTAGCGATGAGAGTTCCGGGGTGGCCAGGGTACTGCGGGAGACCAGGGTTCTGGTCTATACCCGCAAATATGGCTCGTCGCTTCAGCTTCTCATCCTCGTTCGGTAAGTATTTGAGCGTAGTATGGAAGCTTTGTGGCGAAGCTTTGTAGTTGGCGGTGATAAGCTCCCGACGCACCCAGCCGGTCAATGAAGATGCGTCAAAGGCCTGTTCATCTTCAAGACCGTCGAAAGAGATAGGAGCAATGGATGATACGCGTTCATTCAATGTCGGGACGAGAGTGGCGCGTAGAGCTGTCGTCTCATTGAGACCAAAGGCGTCCGCTTTGCCTAAGACGGACTATGTCAGGTCACGTTCGAAAGAGTGTGTTGAAGAGCGTACTCGTTGCGGGCGATTTCTTGAAACGCTTCGACGGTTTCGACGCCGACGTATCGACTTCCACTTCTTCATCGTCCATGGCACGTTTGATCGTCTTGTGTTCCTACTTAGTCGTCAACACGTTTGTCATAGACAGACACGGAATGCGAGATCTGACGTTGAGAGAATCGCGCGAATCGCGCGGTTTAGACGCCGTGCCTGGTGTCGAAGTTGAGGGTGCACCGTCTTCTGTTTTCACACCGCCTGAAGATAGTGTGAGGTGTGGTCATAGACATATGTACAACGGGAAGAGAGGAACTGACCAAGTGTTTCTACCGCAGATGCTGGCCGCAAGGGGTTGTGCGCCACTGGTTTGCCGACTTCATCGTCACTATCCGTCAAGATGTCGATGATTTCCCTCCGTGGTTTATTCGAGGAGCCTGTGTGCTGAGATCATGAGGTGAGGAGATTGGTTTATTGGGCTGAATGGGCACGACGTACAGGAGCGGGTGGCTGTGCATTCGTTTGAGTTGGCGCGGGCGGTTCAAGCTTTACAGCTCGACGTTGAAGGGCAGTAATGCGGTCTCGGAGTTCCTCCAGCTCAGCATCTTTAGCGAAGAGTTCGGCCGTCAAGCGGTCCGTTTGAGCTTGGGCTTGAATGAAATCATGCTCAGACGCCGTTTGTTGTTCCGCCAAGACACGTTCTAGGGCCGCACACTCCTGAGCGCTAGCTGCCTTCAAGTCTGCAATCTCGCGATTGTAGGCCATAGAAGCGGATTCTAGCTTCCGCCTCAAATCATCTTGCGATGTACCACAAGTGGAATGTTCTGTGCGTAGACCGTCCATGTCGGTTCGAATAGTAGATAGTTGTCGGGCTGCGTTATCACGTTCTGCACGCGCAATGTCAAGTTCTGTAGCGGCCGAAGCGAGCTGGGCGCGCACTGCTTCCGACTCGAGTCGCTCCTCCCTATGTTGCCTGTTCGCCACTTCGACCGCCGTCCGTGTTTTCTGCCATGTTGGTCAACACTATGTACTGGATGGATGGAGTTCACGCCTACCTGTAGCTCTACCTCCTTAATAAGAAGTTTCTCCTGCAGTCCTTCGGCTCCCTGCGTGTCCACCAATGCAGCCCCAATGCCCCTATCTACCCGAGCAGCTCGACCAGTGCCCTGGCGCTGTAACTGAACTGCTTGAGCGATCACGATACTCTCCGAGCGCGTAGCTTCCAGGTCATCTTCAAGCCGTTTGATATGACTCTTATGCTGTGCGTCCTGGTTTTGTAGTTGCGTGATACGGCGCTCAAGGTCGTGGATTCGGTACTGCATCGTGAGTTCGGCGGGTGACTTGACGTCCATGGTCGGCCAGGAGTCGATATTAACAAGAAAGTAGCAGCACAGTAAGAGCCAGGAGAGTAATTTCGGAGCAAGGTCGTGGGATACTGTCACGGCGCGCCAGAGAGTAGTCGTAGTTCGAGAGGAGGTTGTGTAGTGGACAAGAGTGGACAGCGCGTCGCGTCGCGCCGCGCGCGCGCGAACCACACGTGCCACCGTGTTATTGTTCGGCGTCAACACGCTCACGCTCGGACCACCACCATTGCCTTGGACAAATGACTGTAAAGGTCCGAACACGACTGAGATCAAGCTTGCATCGGTCTGCGCGTACAGGTCTCCGCCGCCAGCGCTGAAAAGTCCCATCCATCATTCATGAATGAGCTCGGCATCTCACCCATGCGTGCGGGAGACCACCGATATCGGGATGTTGTGTGGGTTATGTCCGCGTTTGGAGCGCTGTCCGTGGTCTATCTTGCTGTTCTACTCTGCCGATGTCGAAAGGGGGTCCCGTGTTGCATAAGATCTGAGTGGATAGGCAACATCGAACAGACCCACGCCGCGCGCTTTGCTGTCTGATTGACTGTGTAGCACTTCCGACTCGGTCTATTTTGCGTTCGGCGAAGATGTCAGGTAGATGTGGTGGAAAGAGCCCAAAGTGTGATCGCCCGGGTCCGTGTTCGCTCGCTCTGGCCTGACTCTCTCACCGTCGACGTCATACCGCTTTTGGACATCGTCAGAATAGGTATAAGAACCGTCTGCGACCCACTCAACCCACTCACTCACACAACCTAATCGATATCCCATCATGTCTGGACGTACCCGTTCGTCATCTTCACCTCCTCATCTTCCTCAAAACTCACCCACCCATCTTCGTAGCCATCGTCGGCGTCAACGCCATCCTTCATGCTAAGCCTGAACAGAAGCAGGTCGTCTGGGACTTTCTCGCTGGCGGCAAGGCGATCGTGGATGAAGAGCCCGATACACTTCAGTGGTTCGCATACAAGTGCGACGATACGATCGATGGCGAACTCGGTGCCTACGGCATTGTAGACAGCTTTCCCTCCGCCGAGGGCCGGAATGCGCACGTCAACGGGCGCATCCCTCAGGCTTTGATCCCCAAGGTCGACGAGCTGCTTGCGAAGCCACCCGCGCTTGACCCCATCGACATCATCGCGTACAAGGTATCAAAGAACGCGGCGACGGAGGGCAAGTTGCAGGTCGCGGGCATCTCTTACCTCGTTGCCAAAGAAGACTCCGTTGAGCAGCTCAAGACGATATTGACGGTATGCGCTTTACTCTGCACATCTTCGCGGCCAACTCACAACCTCGCAGGGCTCATATGCCGACGCCATTCAGAAAGAGGAGTTCACGCAGTACTGGTATGCGTTCCAGAAGGATGCCACTACCTTTGGTGTCTTCGCTGCATGGCCCACTGAGAAGGAGCGCGCGTCTCATATGACTGGTCCAGCTATCACCATGCTTCAGTCTGCCATTGCTCCGCTCATTTCTAAGCCTTTCGTCGGGAACATGGCGACCGTCATCGCCCAGAAGACTCACGGATGAACGTCTAGCATCACGAAGTTGGATGAGTACACAGTAAACACGATTTGTACCTGTATACTTCAGTTTTGTCTCTCGATGTCAATCCTCGACTCAATACGATGTCTTTTCATTTCAATGCATGATGCAGTATAGTACAGTGGAGTCAATGCTGATGGAACTCGGATTCGGGTATACTGTAGAACTGTGCCTGGTGTGCTCGGCGTAGGACTGGCGTGATTCGTGACCTACGTCTTCTCAGTATGTATGACACGAGCAACGCCGGCAAGGCTCGCAACTCACTATCGTTCATGGCGCATCGTTATAGCGCACAAGGGAAGGCACGGTCGAAGACCGGAGATCGCCCTCTTCGCAGGCGCGCAATGTGCACGTAGTCTTCCAGCTTCTCATCCGCCAGGGCCTTCATTGCGCGCAACAGCTGCGCAATGGGACTATCCACCGGCAAGGCCTCGCCGACGACCTTGTTGGCGAGCATAAACCTCCTCATGTACTCCTCGTAGTCCCGCCGCGCCTGCGCGACAGCAGCGTCGCGCGCAAATGCGGACACCGGCCAGGGTGTTCCGGAGGATATGGGGCTATCCTCAGCGTCAAGTATGAAGTCGTTGATAGGAAGAGGGCTGGGACGACGGGTGGCGAGCATGTTCGTTGATGTTCGTTGGATGAAAGAGTGACTTGGGAACGCTCGTAGGCCCTTCAAGGGAGAGGATGCTACTCCGACGTCAGCGCTAAAGCACCGTTATATCCGTACCAACGAAACAAAAGGAGCGGAAGAGGCCCTCTATAACAATTATCAACAACAAGATCACCATTCGGAGAACAAGCCCATTACAAGGTCGCCGCTCCACGCCTCGACAAGCATTATTGTCTTTGTACTTCTTCGGGAAGCCTTTGACCCTTCCATCTTACATCGTCTTCTGTAGTCTTCTGTAATCATCTGACAGAGGCCCTGAGTCTCGCTAGTTCGGTGAATGTAACTCGGCTAGAAGGGCAACTTCAGCCAGACATGACAATTGGCTGCGAAGAGAAAGCGGCGTTGGCTCGCGGCGTTCGCTACTGCTGGCCAGCGACGTGCAGATCTTGTAAACGCTGGTCGAACTTGACAGATGCCCAGAAAATGTATCTCTAGTTGCTCGTGGTGGTTTGAGACGAAAGCTCATTGAAGCGCGTGCGCCGCCGAGTCTCCGACCCCGCCACGCTGCTTACATCTTGCTCCTTGACCACCACCACGGCCCTCCCCTACGCGGGCTATTGCCGCTCCATCAATACTATAGATCTTGTGTCACCCGTCAGAAACTCTCGATTGAAGGATACTCACCATGTCGTCGCATTCGCCGTCGCATTCGCCGTCGCATTCGCCGTCGCATTCGCCGTCGCATTCGCATCCACGCTTGCTTGATATGTCGCTGGAGGTGACAGCAGCCTGCCTAGGTTCTCTAGACGCGGTCTCGCTAGTCACCTGTCGTTTGGTGAGCAATCCCTTGTCAGGTTGAAGTTCTCTCACTAATCTGCTCGTGCAGGTATGTAAAAGGCTAAAGAGAGTTGTCGATACGTCGGAAACATTGCGCTACATCTTAGCTCTGCATATGTGCGGCATGCATGACAATCCCATCGTCTCTTCTTCCGTCCCTTTACTTGATCGAGTGAATCGTCTGAGAGACTATGACGAAGCGCGTAGGGCGTTGTCTTTCAGCGCCTATTGCGATATCGCTCTGCCCTCAGACAGTCGCGTTGTCGTATCCGGCGGCTACGTCGTTGCCATGGGCGCAAGAAGAGTGACCGTACATCGACCCGCGTCGAAGCTGCGCGGTATACAGGCTCGCACTTCGTCCTTTGCCGTTGATTATCGAGGCACGGATGCAGGCGTAGATTCCAGTCAGGATCTGCTTGCCATCGTGTCGGAGATAAATGACCACCCGCAAGAGTGAGCGGATTCCTCCTATTTCTTCGTCCCTGAGCTCATTCAGTGCACAGGTTACATCTGCTGTCCTTACGCACTGGAGAACCCCATCCGTCAGCATTCAAGAACGACCTCAATCTGGGCGGGTACTATCCTCATAGCATCATCGGCGACCGCATATTCTACGCAAATAGAGTTTATGACTGGAAATCCGGAAAGACGTGTAGCTTTGATACAGTATGTCGGCCATTCCCCAATCTTATAGTCATGTGCTGAACCTCGGTCAGGACGCGCTAGTTGTCCTGAACGATGAACATGCGTTGAAGTTCGATTATGACGAAGATCACTTACTCGCCAATGAGGCCGGCTGGCCATGCCCCATATTCAAAGTCTATCAGGTTCCGGAACTGACGGACGGGGAACTCTCGACTTTATCGTCCGCATTGGATGAAGAAGACCAGTCAGAGCCGGACGCTATGCTAGAGCCGACTCGCGGCATCCTTACATTCCCTTGCTTCTCCTCCCTCACCCTGCACCATAGCACGATGGTTGAATCGGACGACACGCTCACCCCCTACGCTGTGGACCAAGACGGCATCTTCTACCCAAGAGCCGATGAACGCCTTCTCAGGGTCGATATTGTCTTTACTGGTTACCAAGGGGATGACGTTAATCCCTCGATCTCGGTAGTGCTCTCAAGATCGTCTCTGTTGCGATACGTGACTTCGTCCAGTGTTCTTCCTTCCCGCGTCCCATGGAACGCATGGAGCGCGCCTGCTTTGATCGGTCCCAGCCGCGATTACCCCTACATGCACGGCAAAGCCATTCGCGCTCTTGTCGACGAACGAGTGGACGTTGAAGAACTGTACTCTGTTGGTTACCGTAGTGACACGAGCGAAGAAGAAGAAGATTACTGGGAGCCCGAGCAGGAACGCCAGTCGAAGCCTCGCCCTATCCGAGTTCGCGACTACCATCGCCGGCGAACCTCTCGGCCCTTGCGTCCTTCTAACGAGTCACCTGCAGCTGTCACTGCGGGAGTGCACAAAAGCTATCTCAGAAAGGACTGGATCATGAAGGCTAGTTCTGCGAAGGAGTACAAGCGATACGAGCAGGAACAGAACGATGAGGAAGCGGACTCGGATGAGGGAGAGGACGATTTCAAGGGAAAATGCCGATTTGATATCTGGGAAGGTGTTCGTCCAACGCTCCCGGTCAACACCAGTTCATGGAAGCACACTACCACGGTCCGCGATCCACCACCGGAGCTGGAGGGTAAAGCGGGCGGAAAATACCTACTCCTTGACGATGGACTGGTCTACGTGGAGGTAAGCCATGCTTTCGTTGCATCTGGCTCTATCTCTAACTTCTATCCGAACGCAGAAACGAGCAGACGGCGTTACAATGCATATCTTCACCTATTGATATTGTCGCGTTGAGCGCCAGTCGAAGTTGTGACGAGTCATCTACAATTTGCGATGTCTCCTGCCCCGCGTGTACCTAAGTTTGAGAATGAAGTACGCGCGTTTTGATTGTATACTTGGTGGTATTGCACAATGCTATTTATTCATCATGACAGGGGCTGCACGCCCTGAAAACATTAGACGCCGCTGGCCTCAGTCGACTTCCCTGGCAACCCGCACTGCTGGCGGCATAGATTCAGAAAGGAGACTCGCGACGGCAAGCGCGAAGCTCCGGCAACCCGAGCGCACAGGAGATCTTCTCACCATATGCAGGGCTGTACCAAACGAATCTGAGCGAGTATCCGAAACAAGGCCCTGGCCACCCCTTTACTTCAATAGGAATATGACCTCCGGGGGTAAGACTCGTCTCTCCGAGTATGTCGCGACCGCTCGGCAACTCTACGCGCGCGACTCAGGAGGTCATCCGCCACAACCCCAGAGATCACTTTGCTTCCGCCTGTTCTACTTCATCGTCATGATCAATCTCCTGTGTGCACATATAAGTCGTCGTGAAAGTTCCGGGATCATCAGCTCGCCACTCACCGCAGCGACCCCTTGCCTCTCATACACGCTTTCGTCCAGTCCACGCCTCGCTCCGCACGCATCAATCATGATCTTCACGCGCCTCTCTATCATTTCTGTTACTGTCTCCGCATTCGTCGCCGCGTCAGCTCTGGACCTGTGAGCGCAGACGCGACGATCAGAGCTTGTTCGCTCATGTGCTTGTCAGACCTTACCACGACTCAACCTACGACATCGACAAGCGGGACCCCGCCGTCTTCCCACAGCACTCCCCAGGGAATGGCTACGAGTACTACTCCTCATACGATTTTGGCTACGGGTACATGACCACCGCGCAGTCAAGCCCGCAAAGTACGCGAGCGGCGACAGCGCAGGTCGCTGGAGTCACAGGTCGAAGCCAGGACCATCCGCGCCCCCGAGCGAGGTTCCACTGATCGCCTTCGCATGTGCGTTATGTTCCTCTGCCGGTGCCATGGTCTAATATCGGCGTCAGGGGCGTTAGATTTCGCGAAAGAGGGGTTTCTTGTGACATTTACATGGCGGACTTATTACCAGTTCTACCTGAAACATACCAGATAGCTTTGATAATCACATTCTTAGAGGATAACTCGGTGTGATCAGATTGTCAGCGGCAGTCTGCGCCTTTGAACCGAGTCTGAAATATGTGCGGGTGCCGACGAAAGCTCCCGTCCCGTCGTCACGACAAGGCGGAATATCATTGCATTTTCCCAATCACAGGGAGCCTTGATCCGATGCGATGTTTACAAGATGGCAAGGCAGATGCACAGAGATGGGGAAGACTTGACGATACATTGCAAAGCGACCGGCCATGTCCTGCAGCCTCGGCATGCGCGGGCGTTCTCTACGCCCTCGCCCTGTGAATGCATGCTTCCGTACAAGTCAAGGACAAGAAAAAGCAGGCTCTTTGGAGCATTCTGGGTCGTTGGATGTATCATGTATGCAAATGGCGGGATCATCAGAGCAAGGCCGAAGTGGTGGTCGAAGTGTGAGCAGGACGCGGTATCGGCGAGCGGCGAGCGGTCGGCATAGCCGAGATGCCGAAACACGGTCACATGTCTTACGCATCGCGGGCCTTGCCCTTGTACTTCGCCTCTTGTGGTCGAACCCACATACGGGAGCGACCCATTCTCAACGGATTCGGACAGGCCAAAGAGCTGAGCTAGCTTCTTTCATGCTGAACACCTTCAAATGTACATGCCGGTGCGAGGCTGACATTGTAGCGACATCTGAACCGCATGGAATCTTGTCGAAAGTTCTGAAAAAAAAACAACAACACGTACTGTTGGACACGTTGGGGATTGAACCCAAGACCTCATGCAGTCACAAGAAACATGCGAAGCAAGCGCGCTACCACTGTGCCACGTGCCCGATACTCACATTACACATACAAAATATCTCAATTTGTTGGCACATAGTCGAAGGCGACGATCAATCCACATCGAGGCGCCGGAAGGCACTTATCCTCGTCCGTCCGGGTCCCCTACTTTTGGTGCGCAGTGAGAGTTGTCATTGCGAGTACGAGAACCCGTCAACGTGTAGTATACACGTGGATGTCCAGACAGCCCGCAGCCACGCCCACATCCAAGCGCCAGATGCCAAACGGCCCCATGCGCACCCACCGCCTCGTAACATCGTGTCCCCCATACCACCTCACGATCGACAGCACCACCCGGAGCCCTTAAGTCCGGGCGCAACAGCGCTACCAAGTACAAGCAAATGAAAAGGTCGGGTCCGAGCGCCTCGGAGTGGTATAGGCTGAGAAGCCGAAGCTCGCGATGCACGCATCATGGCTCTGGTCGGAGAAGTGAATGCGCGCCCCTGCCGATCTGTGGGGAGTATTGCGGCCGCAGTGGCGACTTTTCCGGAGGGCGTAGCGCGTTGAGAAGTAGTGATGGGTACCACTGCGAGGGTCGATCGTCATTGGGCGTCTGAGCTAGTGCCCGCGGGAGCGAGAGAACAAAGGCCGGATGACGGGTTGAGAAGATTGGGCTGAGTGCGGTAAGGACGTGATGGTAACTTGCGCGAGTCTCGGCCGCACGCGTCTAGGTGTTCAAGGTTCCGGAGAGGCGTGGTATGAGGACACTGGCTTGTACCGCATATCCTAGGACGACTGTCGTCGTGGCTCGAGAAGAGCACGGCGCGAAACCGCGAAGTAAACGTCAGTGCACAGGTTGTACCATTGTACACCGCCTCACCGTCCGGTATGCGTCGGACTTTCGGTGGCTTGTAAGTGCGTACAGGTTCAGGCTTTACGCAATGAACAGTGTAGCACAGCATTCGAAATGTCAACCAGTGGCGTCCGCTACTTGCAGTAGCGTGCTACTATACCGCCCACCGCAGGACGTCCATTACAGCCACTGCTCTGAGCGGCCTGACCTAGCCTGTATACCTATCGCTTTACGCGTCTGTCGAAGGTAAGGCACGTCATAAGCCTGTCAACCGCCGGTAAGCAGCACGCTAGCAATGACCCTGTACTTTGCCACCGTACCTTACCAGAACCGGTCGCCGCCACCTCTCAGTGGCCCGCGCTAGTGGTTGCCGACCTGCTTTGTACTCTTAGCAAGCCGCACCGCAAGCCGCTCATTTCCACCCGCCAAAACCTGATTGAAGTGATGTCGCCGTACATGAGGCCGCCTTGAGGCATCGAGACGTGCAAGATCGCGTATAGACCTGTGGACTAGCGTAAGTCCGCGGGCACGCGCAGAGAGATTGATAGATGAGCGCACATAGCAGCGCACTCCCAGTAGAGAACAAGAGGCAGGTGGGCCGGCGGGAACGAACAATGCGAATGGTAGACAAGACGAGAACAAGCAAGAGTTGACGGGCACGGACTCCCGAGTCTATCGCGCTGCCATGCTTCTATCATCATCAGTCAATGGTCACCCATCGCACCCAACACAATACGACGTAAGGCTCAGAGTACGTGCCACCCGCTCTCAGAACAAGAACAAGAACGGGCGACAACAATCAAGCGCCCTCCGAATCCGCCGTCAGGCCAGATCTATCGCCTGCAGGCATCAAAACAAACAGGGACCCATCGTTCATCTGTTCTTCGCATACCACATCCTCCTCCTCCACATGACAATACGCATCTGGAACACAAAAAGACATCCGCACGCCAACAACAATCAACCATCCCCCCGCCGACGCCGGCGCCGACATGACAAGCATCATCCATCGCCTGCAGGCATCGAAACAATAGCACAGACCCGCCGCTCCGACGCCCATACGTTCATACTTTCATCTCCGAGAAGCGGCTTGTGCGCCGTAGCTGATTCTCGGCATGAAGCGTACAGTACAGATCCTCCACGCAAGGAAAGAAAGAGGATCGGCACGCGTCGTTGATACAGATCCGAGTCCACAGTTTTGTTGGTGGTCTGGATCGCGGCTGATCGAGCGTGTTGTTGATGATGTTCCTCTTCTTGAGAGTGGGGGATGCAGACGTAGATGTCACTGGTCGAATGCGAGCATAGATGGCCGTGATGCAAGCACGAAGCCGACGCGCGCGCGCAAAGACCGCTGGTCGACATCAGCGCTCTTGTTCTCGCACAAGAGCGTGCGACCAGCCCATCGTACAAGGCGAGAACAACAGCAGATCCAGATCTTGGCCGTGCGCAAACAAGCGCCGCCACGAGCCCATGACACAGATCCGCTGCTCCGTCGCTGTGGTATCGCGTCTGCGAGTCCGATCGCGCGCTCGGTCGCTCGCATGCTATTGTTCGTCAAGGCTCCGTCGGCGGGAGTGCAACCTGGGTACTACGAGGCTGATGACCAGCTCGAAGCGGCCGCGATGAAGGCGGGAGCGAAGAACGCCACGGCGGGAGGAGAGAAGGAACGTGCAAAACACGATCACGTGAAATCTATCTTCCCTTCGCACCCATCGCGACGCGTTCTCTGTCCTGTCCTGTTTGCAGCGCAGCGCGCCCGTGTCCGTCCCGCGCTAGCCCTCTTCGCGCTTTCGTCCCGTCGATCCATGCGCTGCGCTGTGCCGCCGGCACATCTAAGGGGCCTTACGCAGTCGTCAAGTTGTGGAGATCAAGCGTGGAAAAGATGCCAAAGATCGTATGGTGAAATGCGTTGATCGCGTCACGGTTGTCGTACGGAGTACGTTGTGGGATCAGGTGAATCAAGGTGAAGGGCGGGAAGACGGGGATGATCTACCGTGCGGTGGTTGAGGCTGGGCTCACTGGGAGAAGAGGCTTGCGAGGAGGAGCAAGAGGGCAGTGAATAACGCGTGAAGGCGTCGTGAACGACGTGAATTCATTGCGAAGCAGGCGGCCGGAAGGGAGCAGAACCTGTATAGTAAGTAACTACGTGTAGTCCGATCCGAAGGGGCGTAGCAAGCGTGGAGGAATTGTATCGTAAAAGCGTAAGAGAATAGTTCGAATACGATCCAACTCGGAACTATAGACATGAACGTGAATAGATGATGGTATAAACAAGGGGGTGCGGAGAATATGAAGGGAGATGGTAAGGCGAAGTGTGAGGGAGGATGGAGGGGGTCCGGAACCGAATAAGAACCGAAAGACCGAGGGGCAGGACGAAAGCAATGCGACAGTAGATTCGAGTTTATGCTGTATGTAGAGACGGAGACGGAGCCATGCGAGGGGGTAAGAGACGAATGTATGGATAGCGAGGCAGGGATGGGGGTGGGACGACGAGATTATGCAACAGGGGATGTGGGCCGGGGGTATTGTACAGTACTTGTTAAGTTACAATTGACTTTGCTTTTCTTCTTCGGTTATCACGAGACGGCGTCCTCTTCTATCGCCAGGACAGGAAACACGAGAAACGAGAATGGGTATGCGGAGTGGGCGCCAGCGAGCGAGGGATATCATGCGAGAACTAGCATGAGCGTCTCCTCGCGGTCGCTGGGTGCGAGCGCCATGATGCGACGCCCCTGGAGGAAGTCGCGGCGAATGATGCCGCGAGAGCGAAGGACCTCGTCGTGGCCAACGCGCTGGCCGAACGCGCGCTTGACGGCCTCGCGGGTTTCGGTCCGTAGGCTCTGGTAGTCGTCCCGAGCGACGCCCTTCTCGAAGAAGGTTTGCAGGGACACGAGCACGTCCTGCACGGTGACGGTACGCCCGTTGGAGTCGGCAAGGGCACGGCACTCCCATAGCAAGCCAGGCCCGCGGATGCGCAGTTTGACGCAACCGGGGCGGGTCGCGTCTGCTGCGAGCGTTGCCTTGTCGACGCGACGCCAGTCGACGAGGGCGGCTTCGAGGTTGCCAGTAAGGATTGGGTGGATGGACAGGGGCCCTGCGCGCGGAGTGGGGATCATCGCTGGTAGTTGGGTTCCGGGCGTGAGTGGTAGGGGCGACATCACTGTGCTGGGCGACATGGCTGGCGGGTAGGCGTTCTGCATCGGCGATGCCCGAGGCGAAGTGCGCAAGCTGGCGTTGGGGCTGGTGGGTGACGGGAATAGTTGTGCGTTTGCCACAAATGGCGTCCCGTGGTTGGTGGGGAAGGTGTAGTCGTCGGAGCAGACAGACGACGTGGAGGACGACCGAGATGAAGCCGGGTTGACGGTCACGACCGGCGGTGTCCGGAGCGGCGGCGAGTCTGGCTCGCTCTCGGGTGAGTGCGAGTACGTCTGCGTGCCAGAGACCGGGTTGGGTGCGAAGTGCGCCCGCCGGCTGGAGCGGGAGGTGCTCGCGTGCGTGTTGGTGGTCGAGTACATGGTGGGTAGGTAGGCGCGGGTGAGGTTCGGGTTGTTTATTGGTAGCGGGGTAAGCGGAGGAGGACGAGTTGGAGGGCGTCTCTTTTAAGCAGCTACAGGCCAGCGCCCGTGCAGGCACCGCCCGCGCGATTATAATAAATTGGGCGAGTACAGCAAGCGCGTGAGTGCAGGAGGGAAAGAATCTTCGTCGCGACGCACAGCTCGAGTCAAATCGGGCATCCCACGCGACAGCCTTCCAGAATTCCATTCCCAGATCTGTTCATCTCGGCGCCCTCGCCCCTCGCCATCTGCCTCGCCTCGCCGCTCGCAAAGGCCTCATGGCTTCCGCCCTCCCGTCCATCGTATAGCACAATGAACAACCGCACACGCGCGTCCCCGGCGCCGTGCTCCTTGCTTCCAACCTTCATGTCGTGCCTCCCGTTCGCTGTGCTGAACCATTTCCCGGTGTCCTCGGTTCCGCACAGCCTGAGCACTACAACATCTACCTCATCCTCGGAAAGAGCGCGGCCGCTCGCGCTCCTGTCATTCAGTAAACCTGACTCCATTCGCACCCGACGCTGCCCCGCCCCGCCTCGTCGTAAATTGCACTTTCACCGCCTTACCCTTCCCCTTGTGAGCCGCATGATAGCACGCCGCCCTGAACGCCCTCCGCTGCGCACGCTACCTACAGCGCCCTCAGACCGAGCGTGCAGTGCACCGAGCTCCTCTCTGTCCAAGACCGTATACAGTTCCCCTTACAACGCTCTTGCGCCCCGTGCTCGTAAGAAGCGTGGCGCGAACTGCGCGGGCGGTTGATGGGCACCATACAATGATTTATGATACAGCACCATGCTTTGTGCGAGTGATCACTGGAGATCGCCATACAAGGCTGCATTCGACTCACCGCTGGCTCATCCTCTAAGCAGGGTTCGCTTCCGGCTCTTGACAGCGTCCTTCAAGGACACGTCGGCCGGCGTTCGACACGTCCCTATGCAGCAGCGCCGAGTACGGTGACGGTTTGACAGGATGTTACAATCTAAGCTCCGAGGCTCGCGCCCTCCCGCTTGCTTGCTGGGCGCGTATCTTGCCCATCCCACGCGATAATCAGTACATCTTGCTGTTTGTGGCACGAGCCGTGATTCTTCGAGTCCAGCTGGTGGTACGCCGCTGCAGTCCATCTTTGTGCTGTAGGCTTTGACCCTTGAGAACATGTTATGAGTGGCTTGGGCATAAGCCCAAGCTTCGCAGACATTGCAACTGACGCGACTTTGACGAAGTGAGCCAAGATAGTTCTACACCTGATACCGCGCCACATGGTTTTGGCTAACCCTCCAACACAGATCCTCAACCCAGCTATCCGATATCCATCCCCACTTCGCCTACAAGTTGACCCTCCTCCAGCCTATCCTCCCTCGACGGTCTACTATATTCCTTGGACCTATCTAGAGGATAGGCTTGTACTCCGACAAGTACGCATTCACTGCCGACCCGCACGCAAAACGAATCTGAATCTCGGCATATCCAAGCCGTGCTTCTTCCTCGTCCTCACGCCGAGCCTCGCCCGACTTTTCTCTCCAGAAACGCTTTTCGGCATCAAAGTGTGACAGTACGCGTGCAAAACCTAGGAGCCCCTGTCGCGCATGATATCCCAATCGGGCCTCCTCTCTCAACGCACCTACTCCTCCGAAGCCCCAGCCCAGACCATCTCCCACCCCGCGCACGCGCTCTCGGTCCCCCGTCCATCTCTCCATTCCCCATCCCTATCCCTTGGGAACTTGCCGTACCACCGGAGATCCCCGCAGGCTCATACCGAGTCAGAATTGCCTGTCAGGCTGGTCCCTCTGCGCGGCGGACGCGACGTGCATTACGGTTCAAGGGCGGGGGGACTGTAGTGCTGTACTTCCATCCGGAAGGGACCCTACCCAGAAACGTATCGTACGCGCTATCCCGCATCCCGCATCGCGCCGTGCCGAACTCGCCTCGCCACACACGCGGTCACGCTACTTCAGCCCTTCTCCGGACCCGCACGCCTCCCGTCACTCCCATCTCGCCTCGCGCCCCCGGCCTCGGGTGCAGCGTCGGAGCGGGAGATCGCGAACAGGTCGAATGTTATCAGAGGTCCGAGTCCAGACGGGCGAACGCAATCGCATCGCCGAGCGCGTACAACGTTGTATCCCCTGCCCTTTCCCGATGGAAAACGGTCTTGTTAGGTCGCGGTGCATGTTGATGTTAGGCTGCGGTGCAGGTGCGAGTGATGTGCCTGCGTAGTTTTGCGTATGCTCATGGGTCCAGCGATTTTAGCGCCTTGGTCGCGGTTGTCGCTGTATCGGCCGCCTGAGTCCGCGTCGTCATTGTTCGTGCTACGAGATAACAAGGCCCCACTGGTGTCCCTGGTCGCCTGCGCGCCAGCTCACATTGACTGCGTACGACGAGCGCGAGTACCAAGCCCCGAAGGACGCGTCTTCAGCCGGCCTGCGCGTCCCCCAGCGCTTCGATCGGGTCCGCGCGCCTGCCCGCCACTTGTCCGTCTCGGTCTTCTCTTCCTTCTGGCTTCGCGATACTCCTCCCGAGTCCCAGCGCTAGAATTGAACGCCGTGGCTGTGGCCTCGTGCTGGAGTTTGTGCTGCGTGTGCAGATAGGTCCAGCACGCGGAGTTCGGGTTACGCGGGCACAGCGTATGCGATAGAGTAGGGTCTTATCGATGGACGCGGGCGTGTATGCGTCGTTCATCTCCTGCCGTCCGAGATTGCTCGGCGAATCAAACGCCGTGTTACTCCTATCATTCGTTATTGTTGGGCAGCCTCTCATGATTGTCACCAGTGTAACAAGCCAAGTCCATAGATGAACTTGAGGTTACCGGTTGTCCGAAATGCACAAGATGGACTCGGAGCCCGGGCAAACGCGACTGGCGTCGGCATGAAGGTGTCAACGACGACGGGCCGCTCAAGCGAACTTTACATTTCCCAGCGCAAGCTAGAGCAACCACCTTCTAGCTTGACCGTACTATCGGAAGCGCTGAGGATACCGACAAGTGACGCTGCGGCTGTGCATCGTACCTTGGACATGTTGCCCCGCGTACGCGCGTAGGTCCAGCCGATGTGCGCGCCGTGGCGTAACTGGACCGGCCGTACGGACACGCTTTGCCTGCCCTATCGATAACGCGCATCTCCTTCTACTTCCTGAACAACGTAGCTCATCTCACCGCCCGCTGCCAACATTCGTACGCGTTGCAGTCACTATTAGCCTACTTTGCGCCCTGTCCGATCGCCTTTGGACGCAGCGCATATACGCGCCCATTTGTCGCCCACAGGCGTTCGCTCAGGAACTCTACTCTCTCGATTGTGATGTGCGCTGCTCTCGGTGTCATCTCCGCGGTGGGTACTAGCTATGAGTGCTATAGTCTGCGCGCCTGAGCACGGGCTTTCCTCGTGTCATCCCCGTCCCGAGCGCCGTGGCCTCGTTGCCGTCCGCTCTCCGACCCTCAACTTCTTCCACCACGGCTGTGTCCTCTCATGACGCACCCTCCTTCTTTTCCTGCGTTCTGTTTGGCGCGTGTACACGTTCTCCTGGACCTGCGTGCGCCCTATCGACAACACACGGCCCACTGCGGGAACCCGCGCGTCTTCCGAGATCGCCTCGCCACCGCGAAGGATCCACGCCGTCCACGAACTCTTGCCGCTTGCACGCGTCACCTGGATCTTCGTGGGCTTTGCGAAGGACGTCAGGTGCACAGCGTATGCGACTTCGTCCGCAGATAGCGGGATGGTGCTACGTAGTACGCTAGGACGTCGGACGCACGAACCGATGCGCGGAGAAAGGTTGCACGATGGGGCCGCGGTTCGCGGGTACGCACTCTTCGCGCTGTGTCCTGGGCGCGAGTACTCCACTGTACTAATTCTCGTCTGGGCTTAGATCTACGCGGGAAGCAACACCCGACTAAGTTTCGGACTATCGGATGGTTGTACCGCAACTGCCTTGCAACCCATCCTACTAGGGTTTCATCGCTCATTGTCGAGGACCAAGCTCGTACATGGATGGTATGATCAAGGTAGTCGGAGCGCCGCGATCGGCCCGACTCTGTGACATTGCGCTTGCCTATTGTGGTACTCAAGTGGCGACGGGATGGATGCCACATCGAATTGGAGACAAAGTCGATCTCAGAGGTCCGTGGAGCTCAAGCGCTGACCGAGTGTCATATCTAGATATGATCTCATCCGTCAATGCGCTACTAATGTCATAAGCTCAAGCGCCAACCAACCTTGTCTGAGATCGTCGTCGCCTCTTGCTCTTCAGGGAACAAGAGACAAGGAGGCGCTTACACCCAGTTTGTCAATGCCATCATCGTTGCGCTACGGAGGTTGTTCGAGCGTGAACGTATCTTCATTCACGATTGCGATGCGAGCCTGTCTTCTTCCGCGTCTCCCGCGGCGTGCGAGGATGTGGCTACGACGGCTTAGTGCCACTCTAACTTCCTAAGCGCTACGCAACGCTAGGACATCGGGACAGACCGCTCGGTGAGTCAGGCTTTGTACTCTATCTATGCTTCGCACCGTCTTTGTTAGCCCGATACTGACTGCGTTCATCAGGCACAAGTATGGCCCTCGAAGGTGTTCTATACCAACTCTATCCTCCCTTCCTCAGGGTGGCACAGTCAGCTTCCGACTCGGGGCGTCAACGATACGCGCGATCCTCGTGCTTTTTTGGCCGTGAAAGCGTTCATCGCTCAGGTACAGGAAAACCTGCCAATGCGCACGATCGCCGCGAGAGAACCATCAAAGCTCCGCGCTTGGACGTACTCTTACGTTGCAGCCAATTAGACTGGCTTGAAGATTGGCCACTCATGCAGAGAGCGCATAGAAGAGAAGAAGTCCGCTGTCGGCATATGTTGTATTCACCAAGGCGTAGTTCAAACATCGAGATGGACGTGGCAACCAGTCACGGTAGAGCGAGAGGAGCGATGCGCCAAAGCTTGTGTCCTGTACGGTACGGGAGACGGTCGAGCGACCTTGCCCACAATGCTCGTCGTGTGAAGCGTTTCAGCAGGCCCGCTCGCCGTGCCCACTTCGCCATCCGATTCACGGGACCCGCTTATCTTGTGAAGCTTTCTGTGGAGCGTGCTGAAACACCAGTCGGAACAAGCATAGATGCGTTGCTATGAAGCGCAAGGGAAGACCTTGGCTTGATACGATGCGCTCAAGCAAGCGCGCATATGACCACCAACTACACGAAGCCATCGAAGATCCCGTCGTATACCAGGTCTAAGGTATTTGGTTTCTTCGTAGCTATAGTCTCAGACGAGAGGTAGTCTGGCGTGTGGCGCATCTCTCAACTCGCCGATGTGTTTGAATGCCCTCATATCTGGTAGACGCTAGTGAAGGATTACTACTCTCTGATGGCCGGGCCGCACATGCTACGAAGGAGAGAAGTTGTTTCCGCATCAAAACTTTAGGGAAGCGGTCTGACGGCGTCTGAGGGACTCTGAAGCGGTCTGACGGCCCTGAAACGTCTGAAGGCTCGCTTAAAGCTCTGGGCTCACATGGCCCTCAGAGCCCTCAGACCGCTTCAGACGCCCACAGGGCGCTTCAGACCGCTTCCCAAATTGCTGATGCGCGTGAAGCCGTCGTAGCTGCCAGACAGGGCCACACACTCGTCCGAGCTCTCATCGAGCTCTGCTTCTGCCATTAGACGCTGAGAGATCGAATTCTCGCGGATCTGTCAGAGGTCCTTATGATAACTTTATGATTGGCCGCCGGTCCCCCCAATGTGGCACCGACATTGCGCCCATGCGTCCAGCCTCATTCAGTAGACAATGTTCTTTCTTTCCCCTATATCACGTAGAAGCTACATGTTTAGCTGTGTGATGGTGCGTAATACACGCCTGGAATCCCATGCCGCGTCGACTGGGTGGCTGCGTATTCGTGTAAGCGAAGTCTGCTCCGGGAGCGCGCAAGCCATGTGACCGTGCACTGTTTTGATCGGGCCAGCGCGTCGACGTGGGCAACGGCTTCCCGGCTACTCTTGCGAGAACGACCACCTGCGCGTTTACAAGCCATAGATGCCGCGTATTCGTCACCCACTGTTTGCCGGACATAATCCGATGGCGATGATGCTGGGGATGCTGGGAAGGGAAGTATGAGATCTGGGTCAGATCTGCCCCGATGGCTGGCAGATCGGGACTGTAACTTCGACCGGCTCTTTGGCCGCGCCCTTACCCTCTGCCCTCTCTCTTCATACCGCGCAAGAGTACGCTAGGAATGTGCTGGGAACTGCATTGTGGAACTCGTCCGTAACTACACGGGATCAGCTTCGGCGCTCGTCATGGTTAGGCCCTGCGGAAAGTGCTTTGAAGAACCGCGTTCGAAGCATTTAGTCTTCCTCCACGCGTAGTATTCAAGCGCCCATCTCGTTCATGAGTCGATTCACCCGAGCCGTGCAACCGGTGTAGAAGGAATATGCTGACTTCGGGCATGTGTCGCGTTTGGTACATAAGGACCTACCTTCACCCTCCCGGCTTTGCACTCACTACCTCCGCCAGCCTTCGCCACAAGTCCATACTGCCATGTCTACCTCCATCACAGCAAGGCATGCTAGAGCCTCTGATCACCGGAAGGCCAATGTGCGTTAGTCCAACTCTTCGCCTCAGACAGCGACTTATCCCTGATAGGACGTCGTCGACGCCGTACCTGAGCCCTTCGGCGCCGGGATACTTCTCCCTCCTCTATCACTTCATCCCCGCCAGCAATACCAGACTCTTCCTTCTGCACGCCCTCCATCCAACCAGTATGGAAATCATGGGCGCGGGCTTCCCCCCTCGGGAAGTCTACTGTTCAATGTACGAGAACGTCTTCACGTTGATGGTGGAGACACTCATCCTCTATTGTAGGAACAAGCGCGACTGATGCCAGGCACCCCGCTTCCCCCGATGGCTGGCGCATCTTTTACCAACACATCCCCTCCCTCTCACCGTGCTCTTCACCAATTCCTGCTACCTCAAGGAACAGCTTTGGAATCCTTGCTTCGCTACGAGGAACTCCCCCGGGAATTTAATGCATCTGCCATGTCCCCTCCCGTTTCGACCCTTCACATAACTAGCGACGAGCTCCCTTGGGAACTCTCCGTCTTCGCAGGGGCGAGCGGTTATGTGAGGGTGAAAGACATCATCCGCGCGCTTCGTGCCTTCTTAGAGACGCCCGTTTCTCGCAGGGCGCCGGAGTTCGTAGGCCTCACGGAATATCAGCGCACCGATGTAGGACTTGCCTTTGGCGCGCGGACACGGAGTTCTGGGAACGATTGTCTCAGGAGACGAGACTTCCTGAAAGCACGTCTACTGTGCGGGTTAGAGCGGACGCGCGATGGACGGGATGATGCATGTGTTCTCATACTGACGCCTTCCCCTGTTCGAGCATGGGGCGCGTCTTTCTGACCTGTGGATATGAACCTTGATTGAATGTACGATTACCGCCCGTGTGTTCTTCTGCTGTGTCGCTTCTTTGATGAGGTGTTCGCTGGTGTTCGTGCAAGCGCGGATGGGTCCATCCTCTGAGAGCGAGTAGTTGCAGTGCTTCCCCCGAAATATTCTTCTGGGGGTCACAGCGAACAAAGATTGAGTGCTGGCTGATAGCGCTCGACAGCACACGGGAACATGCTATACACGTCGTGCTGCGAATGCTCGAAGGCCACAGCAGTCGTCTCTCGGCGTGTGCCAATAGTGGTCTCATCGAACACACTCGCGATGAGAAACTCAGGTCTTTGTCGCTTCTTACCCCATATCAGTCGACCTCGCCGTCAGAGCTGGTGCTGGAGTGGGAAGCAAGGCATGCAACCGCACATCCTCAGGAATACGGGATCGTCATTTACCACCCATGAGAGTTCTAGGTGGCTTTCGAGGATCTGACATCTGCCGTGACTGCAAGTTTCCTTTCGCGTACTACGCTGTGAAAGTAGGTTTGCTTCAGATACGGCGTATCTCGGCGAACTGCCAACTACGTAGGGCGACGGCGGCCGACATGGGCGCGTGTGAGTGCATTGAGGCGCAGTCTTCTGGCATTCCGACACCCACCTGGACCGCAATGCAGCAGCACTCTCAAGCATCGGTAACTCGACACCTCCGCTTCTCTAGCGTCGGCTTCAATCAGTGGGATGCTGGTGACGATCTTTCACGTAGATGGCGTCTATTGAGACTAAATGAAGGTTGCCCGTCCTCTCCGCAACTATCGTATCATGGGTAGATGCGTACAGTCATCCATCGGCTCGCGTCAGGATGATACCCGACCGATGCTTCTAAGTGCAGACAGTGTCTGAACATCGCGTGCAGTACCCTGGACGAAGTATTGTACTACGCCTCGTATGGTCTCTGGGCACAACCGTTGCTAGATAATGTTTATCATCTGGTGAGTCCTCGTAATATATCCTAGCTTGTACCTTTCCTCATGCCATTGTGCATAAGCATTGTGAGGACGATACACTGTCGGAGCGGACGCGAGCCTGGCTTCGGCCGTCGCTGCGCGCGTGCGCCCTGCCAGAACTTGGTACCTGTCTCGAAGCATCGACTTTCGTATGTCTTCTGCCAGAATTCGCAAGCCGCGATTTCATATGGTAATTGGCCGACAGCGCTTTGCGTACTGTGATACATCTCACCTTATCGCTTCTGGTGATCTCGGAGCGAGATGATCATGGTGCACCAGGGACAACGATGCGCCTATACGGGCCGCAAACGTCAAATGCCATCTGCCTCCCGGCCTGAGGGCCTCCCAAAGGTCTTAAGTGCGTAACTTGCACAGGCTTCTGAGACTAAAGGACGTGTATGATGCCTCATGGTATCCAGGGTCCTCCACCATGGAATGGAAGTCAAACTTCGCCTCGAGCGAAGCTTCCAACAGTGGAGAGCGTGCCAAACCTAGGAATTCTCGACATGCTCGTTACTTTCACCAGCTCGTGAACATTGCATATTGTGCATAGAACAGTAGACCGTGTCAAAGTCTGAATGCAGTAGTCAATACTCACCGGGGGAGAACCTAACCTGGTGGCGCTGAGCGTCAACGTCGATAGCTTGCCTCGCACCCTCGCGCGCCTGGACTCTTCTGATTCTGTTCCGAACTCGAAATGAAGTAGTGCATCGTTGCGGTCCATGTTTGGCCCTGTGGCTGCATGCTGGAGTTCTCCGTGGCTCCGCGCGCAAGCTGCGTAAGGTGATGCAATTCACGTCCCTGTCTTGAGAGTTTGGAGAAGGGCGTAGTAGGCTGTGAGTGTGACCGACGGCATCATGATCCATGCAGGCCAGTGCCCGAGCCAAGTAATGTACGCGGAAACTCCGTTGTACACTTCGTTCAAATCTGGCAGCTTGACTTACTCTATGGTCTCATGGTCCCATGGACAATGTCACGGTGCAATATAACATGGTGATTGACTCGGCGGAGACGGCGCGCTCATGAGGGCCGTAGTATTTTATCGCCCAAGCGCCCCTTAGGTTATCGTTTTCGATAAGTCTCGCTTATCAACGGGCAAGCGCCGAGCGCTGACGACCTTGGCCTTCTGTGACTCAGTCTCGACTTCCATGTTGGGATCCGTCGACTTGCCCGCTCAGACTGTTGCTCTCGTGCTCTCATCCCACTTCATGGAAAATCCAGCGCAATCGTCATTTATTAGCCGCGAACCAATAGGCACCCCGCGGCGGTTCGTTTCAGTCACGATCGCCTCTTATGGATAGCGTACAAGTGTAATGGTACGGGAATCTCCAGTATCATTCGAGACTTCCGACTATAAGGGACCAACATAGCAATGTGACTTTCTGGCCCACTTTTGGCACCAAAGTTCGAACATCCAGATTTTGGTCTTATGTGCCCCTATTCGCGTCAAGCCGATGCAGTCTACTATTGAGACCATACACCGGCCACTATTCAGGAACCTGTGCCGCCACAGCTGAGCAACACGACATATAATGCGAGCATGCGGCCGCCCTTCCTGGACAGTCCTACCCCTTCGCTCATATCGCCCTCCTCATCATGCCCTCCCCTCAACGCGTGCGCTTCAACACGGAGCCGGTGCTGTCCGAATATGCCAACGAGGCATCCCCAGCACCAGACCGTGACGTGGACCTCATGGACTATGGTGGTGAGTACCCCGTACTCGTATCGACATACCGAGACTAACGCATTGCAGTCCCAAGTGACGACGTTGATGTTCACGCGGAACATACCCTTCCTCCCGCGAATCCCGCGCATGTCGCTCGAGAAGGAAACCATACGGACTTTCACTACATCCGCTATCCCAACTCGACATTCGCCCTCCACTCTTCTTTGGCCACCTTTCCCAGAGATGCGATTGTAAATGGCGCATCGGCGTTCACGCATCCGGACCAAGCAGCAACGGTGCCGCACGCGCAGAAGGTCGTTGTACGCGGCTTGCCATGGCCTCTTCGAGTTGCACCCACCGGCGACTTCTCGCATGTCACGCTGCGCAACGTCGTCGATTCTCTATGTGCCTTCCTGAAAGGTGCGGCCTCCGGTGACGACTTCGCTAGCGCGGCGAATCCCGAAGCCGTCTCACGCACATTCTACACCCGTACGAGGCGCAATCAAGCACTACGCGAGGCCGGAATCCTTCGTCTTGACTTCATACCTGGTCCTATTGTCGGGCTTGAGTCTATCGTAGGCGAGGATGGCGCTTTCTTTCAGCTCATCTTCGGCGACGCGGTTTAGGCGTGTCACTATTGTGCGGCACTCAGTTGAGAGCCTTCCCAATCCTCTAGAGGCACGATGGGCGTGGATTCCGCCCGCTTGCTACTAGTTGTGACTTCGCCTCTGCGTCATGGATGCATCGCAAGCGACGCTGTACTTCTATCATATACCCTGAATCGTCTTGCACTGCCACTGTCCCGTCCCTTGCCACCCGTCTGCGTCTCCCTTAGCACTCACGCTCAATCCTTCTTACGACCTTCATGTTATCTCGGACCAGACCCACGAGCATACCCCATCTGTATCCATATCGTCCACTACCCCGCCGTTTTTCAAACTCTTCATCAGCTCGTCGTCTTGCCAGGCTCTGAGAGTCCTTGTACAGTGTACCAAGATACCATTGTAGGCTTGTATACCATCCCAATACCGTTATTCTTGTACACGCTTCCAATGTTCATCCGGATCCGAGACAGATCAGCACTGTGGCAGCAGAAGAGGGCACTGCGGCGTGGCTCTCGCGCGACTCCTGTGGCATGCAACGTGCGCGTAGCGCATGACAGCTCGGCCGCGGCCGGAGCATCAGCGCTGAGAGCGTCCTCGTTTTGGTCTTCGGACCTGACTTTCATCACGACAACCGGCGCGCTCGTCATCTCGTCACAGAGTTGGGAAGTTCCTGAGAATACTAGTAGGCTAATATGGTATTTGGGCATTACCGACCTCCGCAGCGATTACTGTGCGGTCTTGAGAAATGGTTTCAGCAGGTTGCTACAGCCTCGAATGGCTAGTGCGTCCTGATGGCACGGTATCCTCTCCTATCTGCTGTGCGAGATTCTATGCACCAATCACTCGGTCTTGCGATGCGTATCCGTTTACGGTCAGATTGGTATGTATCATTGCATCTCGATTACCCTTTATGTACTACCATCCCCGTCGGCCCGCTGACGCCCCAGACGCCATTTCACAGGCATCTTCCCATGATTCTGTGCCGCCACACCTATTTTGAAACGCACATATAAAGGGCGAGCATGCAGATGCACTCTTTAGCCCTGCATAGCACTACATTGCTCAACCTGCCCTCTCTACCATGCCTTCTCCTCCGCGTCCTCGCTTCAATGCGAATGCCGTCACCGAAGACTCTGAAGGCGCTTTCGACGCGGCCGCACCGCCTACCGAAGATGTTGACTACGGTGGTGAGTCAGGACGTCTACGCCTTTGCCGCGTACTCTAATGCGCGCGCAGTACCGGCCGAGGACGCTGGAGCTGCCGCAGAGTACACTCTTCCACCCCCAGACCCCACTGTCTTGCCTCCAGTCCTAGTTGATGGCCAAACCGAATACGGCCTTCCGGAGTCTGTTCCCAATCCGGGTACACCAGCGTTCGCAATCCACCCGACGCTGGCCATTTTGACAACGGACGGCTTCATCATCGGTGCGTCGGCCATTGCGGATGCGGAGCTTCGACTACCTGCGACGAGTCCGGAGACAAAATCGGTTGTTGTACATGGTGAAGGCTTGCCATGGCCTCTCCGCATTGCGCCGACAAGAGACTCTCCATGCGTGACTGTTGGCGATGTCGTGGAGTCGATGCAAGCCTTCCTATGCGGCGCAGCTACCGATGAGGACTTCGCTAATGCGCCGAACCCGAACGCTGTTACGCATGCGTTTCATGAGCGCACTCGTGGCAACCGCGACCTCTACAAAGCAGGCACTATCCGCTTCGACTATCTTCCGGGCCCCATTGTCGGTCTCGTAGCGATTACGAGCAAAGATGATGCCGCATTCAAGCTCGTTTTCCGTGCGAGGTCGTAATGCAGTGTATACATCTATAGCCGTGTGGTTCGATGCTTCGGGCACCTTGCTTGTTGTAGCCTCGTCCGCGATCTTCGCGTTCCTCGCCTGGCCTCGCACTCCCAGGCTATATTGCTATCACACCATCATGTTGGTCCTGGGCTGTCTGAGTCTCGTCTCGTTGCCTCATTGTATATCCCTAATCATTGTGTATTGCCCATTTCACAAGGACTGCAAATGGCCTTCTTTCCCCTGTTGTTACCTCTCTCCAATCACTGTCCAATCGCGGTCGATGTCGCACACTATCCGATGTGAACGTTTTTACCAGTACCTCGCGTGAGCTTTGCGCATACGATGGTATGCGCCGAGAGCAGATGCTCTCGACGCGACGCGGTCTGGAGTTCGCACGTCGCCGATGACAACGGCGCTACGCTTGAGGTGAAGGTCAATTCGCATATGTGCAAGCGCTGACTTGGCCATGATGCTCCCGAGTTGGGCGCTTACGTTTCCATGGATAGCACGAGTCGCAGAGGTGTTGCTTCGGTGCGGAAGGGGACGCAGTTACTGCCGTCCGTCACCATGATCATAGGCGAAGCTACATCGACTCTATCTTTGTTACCTGCTCTGCCGATCGCTCAGCTGATCCACGTTTGGCCACTTTGTGACAAAAGAACAGATGTATGAAACTCACTTTCACGGCTGGTTGTGGCTGAGGCCCAGACTGATGGGAATTGAAGGGTGGCCAATGGGGTACGGTGATGGGTCTAGTGCAGCCCTACGTTTCCTCCGATCCATCGGAGTAGCACCCCGCCGAGCTCTGGCCCTCCTGCCAAACCCCCAAACCTGTACGCAGACCCCTTTCTACTGCTTTCGCAGCCCCTTTGGGAGACCAATACAGAGTGCTGTGATTGTACTCCGAGCCACATGCCATCACAATGTCAGCTACTTGTTCTGGTCTGCTCTCGCTCTTGAGCCTACTGTGCCAGTGCGGGTACACCATCCTCGTCAATGGAAGCCTGTCAAGGACTATTGAAAGGCTGAGTGAGCTCCCAAGACACCCTCGAGTGTCCAATCTGTCCTTCCGCACTGCCACCAAGCACTACAATCCACCAAGAAGTGCTGTGGTAATAACACGCGCTACTGACCGAAGAGGCACAATGCAGAATGATATAGCGCGTCTATCCATCCTGCAAGCTTGAACATCATCTCCGAGCTCGCACGGCCTCTCGTCCGCAGCGAGAATACACGGTGACTCATGTGCGCACCGGCAGATCTCGATCTGCAGCAACAGTTGGGCAAACTCTCGCCTTTATTCCGCACGATCAAAGGTCCTGTACACTTCAGCCTCGGGCGATGCCAGTTAGCTCACTACCCCGGATATCTGCGCGAACGTATCCGCATATTCCAGACCTGCTTTGGGCTAGGCCCTGCGTCGGGGCGCGGCGGCTGCCGTGGGGGTCAAAGCCGCATCATACTTCGTGGGCGCCTATTTGGACAAGTCGCATGGACACTCTTAGGAAAGCAGATGCATCCGGGGTAAATCACTGTCGGCTGCCGTGCCGAGGGCGTTGCGATGAGATGCTAATGCGATGACGGAGCTGAGGCGCAGCGCGACTCGGGCTTCACGGAAGAGTCGCGGATTGCGAGCGGAGCGCAGAGTCGAAGTTGTATCTCGCAAAAACACAAGGTACATTCACATTTCATCCCGAACTGTAGCATTTGACTTTGATCACGTATTGTGAGGGATGAAAGCTCGACCAACGAGCTCTGGAAATACGGGAGATTATGACCACAGACAGTTGCGAACGACGTTCTAAATGATTCGCGGGCTTCCGGCTGCAAAGGGTTGAGATATCTCCAAATTCGAGGGCGTCCGCTTGACTTCGCGACTCCGCCTTACAGGATATCTGGGCTATAATCAGAAAGCTGAACGAAACCACCCCACAGCCAATGCGTACCAGGAGCCCATCTTAATAGATCTTGACATGCGCGCATTTGTCCACCGCATGGTTTTCATCCGTCCCCTCCTACTTATATATTTTCGCCGCCCGCTCGTCCGTATGTTCTATTTTGTTGCAAATGCCGCGATGTGCCGTATATGTCGAGGTCAAGGGCCTCAGTGTAAGACACGACCATGTTCTCGCACTTGCAGTCATCGGAAAGGACATGACGAGGCCAGATCGAGCGATTTGAAGACAACTATGGATTGAACAGAGAGTTTATGGGACACAACAGAACCGGATAGATCGACTTCATTGTCGTGGTTGAAAGCAAACCGCTGGCGTGGCGAGCGTCAGCAACAGACGATATTTGCACCAAATTCACACGCCGAATTTGGCACTCGCGTTGAGCTCGATTGCGAAAAACGACGAGGTTTTCTCGACCTCCCACCGTCACGAAATTCCATATGCCGTACTCATCCGCACTTACTATGTGTAGCTGCCCGTCCGAGGCCTGTCACACTAGCTCGCACAGTGTGAACCTGACATATCTTACGGCTGCGGGAATACATGTTGGAGAGGCAGGAAATTCGCAGCGGGCGGGGAGAAGGTGTATACGTAGTTGTATACGGACTGAATAGTCGGCCGCCCTCGCGGAAGGAGCTTCGCAGCAGCTACCAGGAAGATGTACTTATTCGTTTCAGGGTGCTCGGTAAGCTGGTCCATTGACCGATGCTATGCGGTTCCTGTCTGCTTTGACCAGCGCCGCGCCACGAAGATACGGCCTTTCCTATCCTGGTCATGTCCAGTCTTTTCTGTATACCATATGCAATCATCCGCTGCACCTCGTAGAGGCCATAAAGAGGCTGCGCTCAAACTACTCAAATCGCCTTCCACCCGCTTTCACTATTTTGCATTTATCATGCCTCCTACGACTAGTCATTCTCACCGCGGTGTCCGTTTTGTCGAGACCCATTCTGCTTTGCAGAGGGCTGTAGAATCGATGAGTCTTGACACGCAGAGCGTGAATCCTGAGGAGTATGGAGGCAAGTCCATCGATCCGCCATCTTCACTCACTCGCTGACGTCTGTTGATGGACAGTACCCGGACCCCACGGGGCACCTAAGGCCACGGTCATATCCTCAGGCTTAAGGTCGTCTATACCAACACCTCACGTCGCAACGCTGGACGTTGCTCCCCCGCTAAGGCCATATCATCAACAACCCGACCCGAAGGCTCCCATCACTTCCTCTCAGCCTGCAACTCGGCCGCCCCTTCGTACTCTTCAGCTACAACTCCCAAAGCCGTTCGAACCCATCACCATAACGTCCGCGACAGCCTTCCTGCATGCGACTGTACACGACGTTTGGGCGGCTTTGAGAAGATTCTGGCACTCCTCGGCGACGCGCGAGGAGCTGTACGCTCTTCCGGAGACCGAGCGCGAGGAGGTGAGGGAGGCTCATCGCCAGAGGACTGCTGTCAGCGCCTCGGTCGACGGGCTGAGACGACGTGACTTCCTACGGGGTGCAGTAATCATGGGTGTCCAGCCCCTCAACGACGAAACCATTGCTCTTGTACTTGGCAAGACGGCTTAGGCAACGAGCTCGGCGCCGCGTTCACCACTTCACTCTCCTTCTACTGTCTTATTTCGACCTCAAGTTCGCTCCTTTGGAGCGTTACCCGTTACAGGCAGTAAGTTCGGCCAGAAATAGGTTGGTTTTGCATCGCCGAACGTTACCACGAACCTATTTGACCAGTATGAGCCTCGGTCCGGCCTTCTAGACTGGCCGGCCCGAACGCCGGGTAACGTTCGCAAGTTCGACGAGCGGCCGTTACCCGTTACCGAACCTGCAGTAGGTTCGATCCCGAAGTCCGCGTTACGCGTTACGAACTTCGGGTCGAAATGAGACAGTACTTGGACTTCTGTCTGCTCGGGTTTCTTCCTGGCAGCTGCTCTATGCATACGTATATCCGTAGCCTGTCTGATTCTCTGCTTCTTGTGTGTTCGTGTTGTATGTCCAGAGCACAGACCTGCAGATCGTATGGACCGATTCTCCCTTCCACGCTTGTACTCCTCTCTTGAGATATCCATCTTCCCTCATGTATACCCCATCGTTTCGTCATTGTATACTATCTTCACTTCTGTGGATACGACCCCGGATTGCGCCATACCCTCACGCCCGTCTACGACGCCCTACGAACGAGCTATGCCATGATATCTTTGACCATTCGCATGCGGCATGCACGATAGTAGTCGATGTCAGTCAGTTTTGGAGGTTTATAGACTAGAGAAGGCTAGTCCGAGGCTGAGTCTACTCTATGAAGACGAGGCGTGTGGCCTTTGCATGTCGAAAATGGCTCGCGGTATGAGGGCGCCGCGCTGCTCCGAGCTCGTCGCCGTCGAAGGCAAATAAACGCGCGCGGGCGTAATTAACTTGTTCCCACGACCCTTGAGCGCGTAGGGTGCAACGCGCGCATGCCGCGCGCCCCGCGCCGGCTTGTTCTCTCCCTCCATGATGCATGAGAGGCTACGTCGGCGTCGCACGTCATCTCGTTGAGTTCATGACGAACGCAGGAAGCCGAGTATGCTACTCAGCCGAGACAATACTTGAGCTCGGCTCCGGACGCGCGGAAAGAAGCGAAAGATTTCAAGACGATGGGATTGGCATAACAGGACATAGTGTGATGGACCGACCTCCCACAGTGTCGGATCTTCGCTCCCTACGGCGTCAATGTGCGCACGGACGGAAACCGTCGAAGGCGCCCGAGAAGTTAGGTTTCAATACAGGCTATGCGGTCTTGTCTACTTTGTTCCCTGGCAGTGCCGGGCCGCGCCTGTTGTGTGTCCTGTTATCCTAGGGTCGTCATGTGCCCCCCTCCCTCTCATTCTTAATATGGCTATAAGCTGTACTTCTGTAAGGTTCTTAAGCAGACATGCTCTTATGGCTGAAGTACACCGCTCTCTACTCCAGTCGCACCCATAACCCGCCTTGCACAATATTCGCTCGAATAACGCAGGATGGCTTCCGTCACTCGTCGTCACATACCCGCAGTGCATTTCGTGAACGGCCAGCCTGGCACCAGTAGCTCTCATGTGCCATCCAACTCTCGGCCTGCCGCAGATAATGCGTACGCTGGAGACTACAGAGGCAAGTCCATCTACTCGCGGCCTTTTCGACCTTTATGTTGATCTTGAATGGGATTTAGTCCCAGATAATCACGGAGCGCCTCCGCCTAGCTCAAGTTCAATGCCCGCTGCAGCCTCGAACACAAGACAAGGCGCTACCAATTTCACATTGGCACCTGCGTTAGGACCTTCGGCGCATCAGACAAAGCACCACGTCGCTCCTGGACAGCCGGCGACGCAGCCTACCATGGGCACACTCGTGCTTCAGCTCCCTCGACCGTTCCCGCCCATGCAGATCTCACCCGCGGGAACCGACATGCACGTTACTGTCCACGATGTGTGGGCGGCAGCACGACGGTTCCGCCATGCGGCCGCTACCCGCGATGATCTGGAAACTCTGCCAGAGGCAGATCGCAGGCGGGTGAAGGAGACATTCTTCCAACGCGTGAAGTCGAACCGGACTCCCGAAGACGGACTCAGGCGAGGAGATTTTCTTTGCGGGGCCATTATAACGGGCTTCGTGCCTGTCGCAGACACGTCCGGGAAGGCGACCATCGCCTTCGCACTCGGCAAGGCGCCGTGAGCTGGAGCGTCGAGACATACTGCTTTCATCGTCTCCTTCCCTTCTTCATTCACGCGACGTCTACTGTTACCTGTACTCTACACACCGCGACACTCATGTATCCATGCTCTACATACCACAACCACGCTCTACTTAGCCTCCTCTTATCGTGAACAACCCGTTGTATACTATCCCGTCTCTCTGTTCCAGCATCGCCAGGCTGTAGACCATCCTATCACTCTCCACTTTCACCTCCCTGATGCTACACGAAAGACTGTGTGTTATACTCAGAATTCTCACTCAGCGCTGTGCTGATAGCGAACTTGTATGAGCGTAGCGCGGCCGCCCCCAGACAGGCGTCACGCTCGGTCCGATATTCCGCGATTTGGGAGGCTCGCGCGTCGAGCAAGTACGAGCTCTCCTCCGCACTTCATGCTTCCGTCTCCCGCAGAACCTAGCTCTACACGTCACTGCCTCATCTCAATACCACCTGGATCAGAGCGCTATCATGCCCTGTGAAGGTCGTGTTCTACGTCAAACCCGTCAATGGCGAACTGGACGGATGTCGTGCGCGGTCATGGCTGGAGCCATCCTCAAGAGCTGCCAGCGCCAGGGACGAACACTCAGCATCAATTCGTGACGTAGCCGTACTGCACGACGAAGGATCTCCATGGGATAACGGGACGACACAACGTGGTGTGCCACCTGGAACTTCGCTTTCCGAGCGCCTGTCATATCGCAGTCTCTCGTCACAACGCTATTCAAGCACCATCACCATGATTAGCTAGCCAGCTACTAGCGAGGATATATCGACCGGTCGCGCCGTCAACCTAGACGTATAGGGCCTTCTACACATCGTACGCGTATCTTTCCCCTCGTGGTCCTCAGGACCCGCGTGACCCGGGCGCTCTACTACCCATCCTCGTGTCTTCCGTTCACGATGGGCTGGGCCTCGATGACGCTTCTAAACCAATGAAGGCTACTATTCTCGCTGTGCAGGACATCTTTGCTGAGCTTCAAGGCGCGTGTCTACACACGTTTACGGCGGGTTCACGCAAGCGATGACGGGCTGGGAAAAGTGACCTGGGCATACATATGCCAGAGATCTCATACGAGCGCTCTCCCCTCGTCCCACCCCCGCGATTACCACCATTCTACTCTCGCCTCGTCCGCACTCTGGCGCCGTCCCGACGCCGCGCATTACCACTCATGACCTTGCACCTGTGCTTAAGCCATACCTCACGCAGGCGACAGAGCTGCTGGTCATCTCACCCAAACAATCCGCGACGGCCCCTCCACTTCGCGAACTCGTCCTTCGACTACCCGCGCCCTTCGCACCATTGCACATAACGCCGTCCGGGATGAGCCTTCACGTCACCGTCCACGACGTCTCGGCCGCTATCCGCGACTTCCAGACGACACCCGCATTCAAGTCCGAGCTTGACGCCTTGAGCGCCAATGATCGCGAGGATGTGAAGGCAGCATACCATCAGCGCGCGGTCATGGGCACACCCTCCGGCTCAGGCCTCATGCGCGGTGATTTCCTCCGCGGCGCATCTGTGCTGGGCTGCGTGCCCGTAGCCAATGCGCCAGGAGAATTCGAACTTGCGCTAAGTAAGCAGGCGTGATCCGCGACTTTGTGGCTCGACCGTTTAGATCATATGCCATGGAACATAGTTTCGGATACCTTCCATCACGGCCTTTTCCCTTAGTAGTCTGGACTTTCATGGATAGATGTATTATCGCCTCGACGCTACGATATCCTCCTTTAAGTTGTATCTTACTCCCGATCTCCTCCACACTGTACTTTATTTTTGTATCTCAAATCCCCCACAGCGCCTCTGTGATGTAACCATGTACTCGAAACTATGTTCAGGCCATGCAGTACTACTGGTCGGACTTATAGTCGACATGGACCCATACAACTCAACAAGAATCAACCAAGACGCTGCACCGCGCGTCTGAGCGCTTCGCAACTTTCTCCCGAACATCGTCGGTCGCCCAAAGTCGTATCCATCTCCATTCGTCTGACCCTTGTGTGCGGGTACTTCCTCAACATCCGATCTTGACGTACTCGTGGTTAAACTGATGGGCTCAGGCGCGAGAGCAGCTTGCCACGACTCGGCTCAGAGAATGTCTAGCGATTGGGCAGCATAACTAATACCGAGCCGTTCATGGCCGTGTACTCAGATCACACTCAATAGGATGTGGGCGTATCTGTGACATGCTACGCATCTCCACGAACCAGGTCACACCCCCGTGTTTGATCGCCACGTTATGTCGGTGTTCAGTGCCAGCACCAAACCTCCACGTCCTTCTTCTCATATCTCGCACTGCCACCCAGAGTGCTTACAGAACCCCTCGATACAGCACTCAGCATGGCAGCAGATGTGGGTTCATCCTCTTCCCTCCGGGTCCGCCAACTGGGTTTAGTCGATTGGGCACCGATCTCACCATATGCTTAGGGCTCGAAGCGTGGTGCGGAACAGCCGCCCATTCCTCATGAGGACCTCCCCGACTGGAAGAAGCGGAGGTTCATTGAGGTGAGTAGACATAACGACTCTGCGCAACTCATATAATGACGAAGTTCATCTTAGCCAGTCGTAGATGACGACGAGGACGAAGACGAGGACGAAGAGGCGTCAGAGACCGAAGACGACCGCGAGTATGAGACGCCCAGGCCGCCGCAGTGGATTGTCAGGGCTGCAAGGGATGCGCGGGAGTTCGACCAGAAGTTCACGTTCAACGTCGTTGCATTTTGGGGAGACAACGGGAAGGACGATGTCGACTTTAGAGTTCAATGCGTCGATTGTCCCGACACGGTGAGTGGACGCCTTTTAGTGGTGACTGTCCTTCTGACGAATCGCTATCAGTTTTACAAAACGAGTCGTATCTTGGGTACGGTTCTGAAAGAACATGTCAAGGAGAAGAAGCACTCCGAGAATGTCGCCGCCCGCCTCTCGGGGTGAAGCACGCGTGGTGGAGCCGCTGAACCCGGAGTTCGAACAGTACGGGTGGCATTGCTCGCCTTCTTCTTTCACCCCGTCTGTTAAGGTCCCTGGGATTGAATATGCACCTCTCCCTCTACTCCATCCCACGTGTCATCTAGAGTGATATACGCATGATTTTCTTACGAACTGCCCTCGCGGTAGATATCGGCCGGAAGAAAGACAACCCGCAAGGCGCCCTGACGATGATTGTTCTGGTCCACCGATTCCTACAAACTACTGGTCACCCACGCACGACACAATTGAGTGAGTTCTCTTACTCGTTTGTTTAGACACATCCGAGTCCGGTGGAAGACGATATTGGCATTCCTCCACACTTGGCCCGAACACATTCGGTCTACCTCGAGCGTCTCTGGAGGGCATATATAGCCGTGCTGTCGCTCGGAGACGGTAAGCGAGTTCTCCGCGATTGCCAGTCGTTCCACCTCATCCGCCTCTGTCAGATGATACAGCTCACTCCAGAACAGCAAGCTCGTGTAAAGGATGCTACTCGTCAAATCTTACCTGATTGCGTTTCCTTCCTGCAGCAGCTAGTTCGCATTGACACTACCAATCCGCCCGGCACGAACTATCCCGAGTGCGCTCACCTTTTCGGCGATACTATTGCTGGATTGGGCTACGACGTCGAGTACTACGAGGTTCCAACCGATCGGCTTCCGATCTTGGCTCCCGGAGGCCAGGGCTTACCTCGAGTCAACGTGCTTGGAAGGCAGGAGTTCGGCGGTGGCAACGTTAAGGTGCTGCACTTCAACGGTCACTACGATGTCGCTCCCGCTGCGGATCCGTCGGCTTGGACAACACCCCCATTCGATGCTGGGGTCACCGGCGAAGGAAACGATAGGCGGCTGGTCGGCAGAGGTGCGAGCGATATGAAAGGCGGCATTGCGGCGCAGGTCTTCGCTATAGAGGCACTCAAGCGGGCCGGCTTGACGTTGAAGGGTACGGTCGAGCACTCTGCGGTGTAAGTGCTTGCCATCAAATGCTCTCCAAAGTGCATTCCCGCTCATATATCTTCGTTCGCTAGCGTCGACGAGGAGACGACTGGGAACCGGAATGCCGGCTTAGGCTATCTCGTCGAGCTGGGGGTAATCTCGAATCAGAAGCAGACCGCTGTCGTTATCACTGAGCCGCTCAACACGACCAATGTCTGTCTCGGACACCGCGGCGCCGTATGGGGCCGCTTCACTTTCCACGGCGTCGAGGCGCACAGCAGCACCCCTCAGCGCGGGAAGAATGCGCTCGTCATGGCTGCGCGGTTCATCGCCAAGGCTGACGAGGTCATCGGTGAGCTTCTGAAGGATAGGATCGATCCGAACGTGATACCTCCGGAGGCCCAAGCCGCTTCGTTGGCCTTCACCATCTTCGACTGTGGGAGTGCGACGAATGTCATCCCCGCTCGTGCAACTGTCACCTTCGACCGACGCCTCATCCCATCGGAGTCATTGGATGCGGCGAGACAAGAGCTGTACGATGTATTGAATGGCATGTTTGAGGCCGACGAGTGGGACTACGAGGAGACGTACGCGACCGACGCGATCTGGGTCGCGGATGACACGGAGATTGTCAATATGTGGAAACAGGCGGTCAAGGACGCGACTGGTGTCAACGCTGGGATCGTATCCTCCCCTGGAACCGATGATCAGGCAAGTAAATCAGATGGTAGGTAGAATGCGTTCTGAACCATCGTGCTCCAGCGCTTTGTCGTGCGCAACGCGAACTTGGAACAATGCATCGTATACGGTCCAGGCAATATACGCAACGTGCATAATGTGGTACGTTGCCTTCATATCTGCCATTGAAATACTTTGCGTCTGATGCCGTGTCTGGTGGCAGAACGAGTCAATTCTTCTTGAAGACTTGAGAACAGGGATGGAGGTGATGGCCTTGGGCGCGGCGATGTATCTTGGCTTTGAGGATTCTCAGGTAGCGCAATAGTCTTGCTGTGTCATGTCAATTGAGGGAACTGTTTTTCACAATATACATCATTGCTTGAGTATCAGGATGTATAGAGGTCCTCGTGAATGAGGTATATGTAGAAAAATACGAGATATGCACTCGACAGCGCGTGCTGCTGATATATAGTCTGCATGACAAGTCCCTCCCTTCCTCCTCATCATCCACTCCTTACATCCGAGACCCATCTCGTCATGAAGCTCGATCCTTTCCGGCAGACGCATGAGAGGAGCATGGCAAAAAGTTGCAGATGGCTGCGCGTGCCGCGCGCGCGTCAGTCGTCTGAGCGCAGGGTAACGACCCTTCTCATCGAGCACGCTTGCTCTGACACGAGCTGAACGCTCTCACGGAGCTAATCAAGTAACACTTTGCAAGCCGCCGTGATGCATTGAGGAATGAGGGAGGCGGTAGTGGTGGTACGAGAAGAGAGTGACCAGCGTTGATCGAGGGGCGCTTAGCGCCGCGCCTTCCGGCCCGATCAGCCGCGAACGCGCCACACCGCCTTTAGGCCTGGCCGGTCGTTGGCTAGTTCGTGTTTGCCTCTTCCGCCCACCTGCTCGGTTGGTATACATACGCCCGTTGCTCCGCGACCTCGCTGGGTGACATGTGGGATATGCAGGGCACTGGAAGTGTATATACCCAGCTACGGGCGCCTAAACGTGATGCATCAATGCGACACGACAGGGCCGCATCAACATGAACAAGAATGCACGTCCTCCGTCATCTTCACGTTGTCCTGAACCTCCACCTCGTCTTTGACTCTGCCTTGGGATGGCCGCCGAAGTTACCGCCACCTCTTCTGACGATGTGATGCGCGACGCGCCAAGCACGGCCGAGTGTTCGAAGCAAGAGAGCACTGCTCTGTTAACGCGCGTCGCACATGCGTTGGCGGACTACGAGATCGCAAGTACGGACCCTCCTCCGAGGCGTGTACGATTCGAACTCGAAGACACCGAAGGAAAACTTGGCGTACTACCAGGGAGGTCGGGATTGGGATGGTCAGGATACATGCAAGTCAGTTTCCGCTTGCTTGATGAGCAGCGCATATCCACTTACCTGATAGCACCATCGCGGTTGCGGTTAGATTGTCCGCGCCGGGAAGCACACTGCGAGCGATTCTGTAGACAGCAGTAACGCAGAGGCTTCCTTGTCCAAAAGACGCAAGCTTCGACAGGTGAGTGTCGGAAGTGTGAGAACTTGTTCGCGTCGTCTCAAGGGACTAGGAGAAGGAGAACGCGGTTGAAGAGACCAATGATGCGCTCACTTCACTCGTCCCGGCTCAGGAATTGCAAGAATCGGACAGGAGCGTGGCGTACATGATTGAGGCTCTCATAGACGTATGTGCAATACCACTCGTCGGCCGATACTGAACTAATTCAGCGCTCAGTTGCTCGACAGAGTACACAAGGGCTACCAATCAGAGAGAAATGCGAGGGAAATGTTCCAAGCAAGTGAAGAGCAGATGGCGACAGAGTTGTCTCAACTCCAAGCATCCGGGATACATAGCCGAAATCTCAAACGAATGAAACGTCAGTTGGAGACCACATGCAAAGAAGCTGCTGCTCTGAAGTCCGGTACGCCCAAGATATCGATTGCCTAGCATTTCCACACTCGCTCACACATTCTTTTATAGCACTCTACTCAAGCAGTCTAGCCTTAGACGAAGGTTAGCCGATCCCCTCTTGAGGCGCACTCTATGAAAGAGCTGAATTTCATCCTTTTAAAGCAATGGTTCGACTCATCTGTCACTCGCCGCGTCCATCGACCCCTCAGAGCCGTCTCGAAGGGTTACAGGGCCTGGATCTCGCTTCACATTTGGTGCACCCGATGGCGAACTACGTGCATTTCTGCAACATATTCTATTGCTCTGCTGAGCTTGTAGTTGAACATTGTTGGAAAGGGACAACTTTCGTAATCGGATACGACGCACCGCCGTTGGAGGATGTCATGGAAGAAATCGTCATCGGACGTATAGATCACAGCCCGGGTCTCCCTCTCATACCGGGTCAACCTGGTGCTATAATGACCCATGATATCGACAAATCTTCTTTCGGCGCTAATGAACCGGTCGATCTCGTTGTGCTCTGGCCCACTGCAGACCTACCAGCAGATGGCGACTTACTCACCAGGTATCTTGGACAGTACGAATCAGCATCGGACTGGGAAATAGTACCCAAAGAAGATTGGAAAAACTTCTCTGATATCGTCAGTCCCGGAGTATCTTGGTATTACTGCGCGGCGCTGACCTGCTTACATAGGTTCGCCAAAATTGGTGCAAGTTTCTGGCCAACCCCTACACAGAAGCAGGTGTCGTGGAAAATAATGACTGGACGATTGCCGCTCGCATAAGCCTTCGCAAAGCAGGACACCTCACTCTTGACGGCGCTCTGGTCTCAGAGTTGGTCGAAGATATGGATGCCTTCTACAATCCTGACGCAGATTCAGATCGACCAGGCAAGCCTAGTGATGTCACTCCCGAGGAAGTCGATGACGCTCTGAGCGCGGGGCAAGAGGTGAGGCGCTCCTTGGATAGCCTAAGTGGTTCCATTGACCGAGCGGCGATCTATGCTAGGTCTTATATTTCCGCATCCTGAAACCTTTGAAGTTTGATCTCAAAGTTCACGAGAAGCTGCAGACTCTCGACGCTGAGCGCATGAAGAAATAGACAAAGAGTGAAGGTGGAAGGTGGAATCTTCACTCTGTTACCTGCTCGATTCAGGTGCTCAGGACTGCATCATTAGTCGTAGATTACCGTTTATTAGCCTCAACCCATTATCTTCATCCTATTACTTACCCTACCTCCGAATCAGGCATCGTGCATCTTTGCGCTTTGTATGCCAGAAACACATGTATGAGATCAACGGGGCAAGCTCGAGCGATATCCCACTTTACAACGGCGCCTACCCGGGGCCGCTCGGGCCGGCGCGTGAGTTGCCGTCTTGCGCCATACCTCGCCTCTCGCTCTGTACGTTCATCTCGAGCGAGCACAACCATCTCCGACCTTCCGCTTCTCTGCCTTTCGCTATGCCCTCGGTCCTCGTATCACCTCGAGTGGATCCTGACCTCGAAGTTCCAAATTGGGTCACACGTGCGGCGCGCGAGTGCCTCCAGAGGGTGCATCACACGCCCGAACGTCTAAGTCACGATGCAGCTTATTGGCTACACGCCGCCTTGTACACTCGTATGAATGTCGCTGTACAATTCTCATGTCGTTTTGCGACTCTCTTTCACGACGAGTTGTCCGGTGGTTCGGATACAGTAGCGCGCGGCGAAGTGAATGTTCATGCACTGGGAATCTCGGTCCGATGATCAAGCCGTCGTGTTCACACAGTGTCCCGCTTCTTGCTTCCTACGTCCATCTAACAACGTCTGTGCCCTCCTGATAGCTGCGTATTACATCCCTTGTCTACCCTCACCGCCGCCTCTGGAATCGTATGGGCGACTTAGAACGTCAAGTCGAGCGCCTTACTCGCGAGATCGAAGGACTTCGGAGTCATCTGAAGCATGAGGAGAGAGCGAACGAAGAGCTGAGGGAGCGTCTGGGCCTCGAAGAGCGACAGCATCAGGCTACTCGGGCTGATATGCTTGCGGAGATGGAGATATCTCGGAAGAGACAGGTTGAGTTAGACGAACTGCGTCGATCGTCGTCTGAGGAACGCAAGGGCCTCGAGGAAAGGGTTGAAGCTATAGTGCGGCAAAAGGACCAGGTGCTGTGAGATACAGGTAGCTGTTCGAGAGATGAACTGACATCACACCATTTCGTTAGGATATAGCGGAAAGAGATGCAACTCTGAAGAGGCTTCGATCGGATCTGGATGCCTCGAAGCAGCGTGTGCCTTCGAACTCCCATGCATCACAGCCAAGCGCACTGGACAAGGTCGGCCTTCACATCACAGAGTCATGCTCATCTTAAACTTGAATCTGACTTGGACATTCATGAGCAGGGTAACAAACGCGCTGCGAATGAATCCGTCGTCGGCAGACCAGGCTCGCAGATCGCTCCGCCGTCTAAGAAGCGCAGAACTCAGGCGAGTACACGGATGTAGAATCAATTCTTCTGACTGACCAAATGCTCTAGTACGACTCAGGGATTGGTGCCCACACTGAGAGACTAGGCGATACAGTGCGAATAGCGAACACTGTACATGAACGTGCGCAATCCGGGGTAAGTCGCGGCCGACTCTACATACGAAGCCGTACTCACATGGACCCACACAGATGGACCCAACGTCTGATCAGGAAGGACTATCCACCAATCGTGAGCTCGTGAGGCTGGTATGCATAGAGCGTGAGGCATCGGCAGTACAACTGGAGGTAGCTCGCAGCGATGCCGCTCGGGGAGCGATGGATCAGACCAGACAAACGATCACTTATCTGACAAACGTACGTTGTGTTCCGTACAGAACATATTAACCATGGTGGTCCAGCTCACTTTGCTCAGATGCTTGAGCGGGAACTAAGTTTACGACGTCGGGCGGAAGAGCACATCGCGTTCTTGCAAAGGAACGAGGCAATGATCAGGAAGGAGTTAGATGAGCACCGGGCTTCAGAATCCGCCCAAGAGGACCACATCCGTGCCCTCGAGACTGAGCTGAACAAGAGGGTCGTGTCTTCCAGACCCAATAGCAACGCCGAACATAGCACGTCGGCTTGCATGAAGCGTTCCACGCGTACACTTGCGACTCAAACGGAGGAGGAGGAGCCCGTCGATCCCCCGGAACCGGAGGAACCGCCTATTTTGGCTAAGGCGAGTACATCTTACTACTACGTCGTCCCGTAGTTGCGCTAAGCGTATGCACAGGCGCTCAAGCAAGCTAGTGAAAACGGCAGATGTGTCGGGATAATATGCTTATTGCTGAAAGCATATATGACGAGAGCGGCGGACCCCGCGCTTAAAGAGCAGCAATATAAGGCTGAATACATAAGTAAGCTAGAATCCACTCTGAAAAAGGTCCAAAAGAGTGTGCTAGAAAATGAGATCAGTAAGTGTTTGCTTTCATGCTCCAGCGGTCCATTGGCTGATTTCGTACACACTTAGACGGTGAAGGAAGCCTGCACACTCTTAAGTTGAGAACCCAGCGCCTAGTGTATGATCTGCAGACCAAGAGCTCATTAGTACGCAATTGCGACTCACACTTAAAAGACATTGTAGACCAACTACGACGTCTCTCAGCTCGGGTTCATTGTAGGCGGTATGATGCCAACCTGGCTCCAACTACTTAAGACAGAGGACACGCGCGGACCGCCGATCACGTGCCGCTGTGACGAACTTAATTGCGAGTACTCCCCGCTCAATGGGCGAATTCTGCTCTGACAGAATCCTGCGCAAGACTCTTCTAGACAAACTTGTCAAGAGTGTTCGTACTCAGAGTCCCGTCTGGGGTCAGAATTAATTGCCATCACGCGAATGAGTCAGGCCGTGACCTGTGGTCCGCGGGTGTCCTCTGTCTTACTTATGAGAGATCGCTCACTGTACACCGGATACCTACGCACTGCTGTGGATGAATACAAATCAACGATTGATCCTGTGAAGCTCGGAACGATCTCAATGCCAGATACTGAAATCGGAGCAAGGCCGTTGGTGACGGTTGCGGCAGTGAGCCTATTGCACTCTGCTCGCTTCCGAGACGGCCTGATGCGCCGCGGCCTCTTCCCCTCGTTATCATGCTCACCGGTCTTTCCAAGTAGGATATATGCGTGCTGGAAACTCCTTCATGAACCTCTAAAGCTGTTGCACAATGAACGACGGTGAGATTGAAAGTGCAGTGTAAGTATACAACGTGGGAGTGAGCCAGGGGGAAAACGAGAAACGACAGCGAGTTCGTGATCGGGCGCGAGAGATGAGACTTGCCAGTGGTATGCATGAAAAGATAGTACTCCAAAAGTGGTGGGTCGTGATACGCTGCGGAATGGCGGGGCGGAGAGAGAGGATAGCGATGGAGGGGGTAGAGAAAGCAAAAAGCGACGAGAAAAGCGAGCCTGATGAGGGAAAGAGTGCGATCTAATGAATGATGGAGAAAACCGATGATAGCGAGAGCGAGCCGGGGATGAAGATAGCAAGTCCGGAAGCACGTATACACATAAACAAGCCAGTCAACCGTACACCTCCCAGCGCCACCCCTCAAACATCCCCCAACCCAACCCTCATCACCCACCTCCCCCTCCCCTCCGCATCAACCCCCGCATACCC